ATTACGGCAACGACGGACTGATCACCTTACTTCTGTTTCCCTCGCGCTCAGAACGTGATTCTAACACAAATATGCATTCTGTATAATTGATTTTACATTTACAATCGCGTCTTGACATTTGTATGTCTCCTATGTGTAGTTACATAATTAATGAAATAACTAGCTGCCTTTTGTCGTGTACAAGACGGTCAGCTAGTTTATGGCTATGATAATTTTTGCAAAGCTTTATTCGATATATATATATATAGTGAACCTATAATAATAATAATCAATTTATAAATTAGGATGTAATTCTACCTGTTCTTATGTGTGAAATATATATACAAAAAAGTTTGAAGAAGCACGTATACATGTAGAAGATACATATCAAAATACGCGTGTGCGCAGAAACACGGCAATATGAAATTATATTTAGGATTCTATGTTTCAAACTTCTATGAGAATTATAGATCATTCAGGGCTTGCACGAAAACCATATGAATTATTCATTGTAACGCGATCAACATTATTAATACATGCCTTTTAAAATTATGTGAACATTTAATAGTTTCCGCTTCCAGTTGAAGCTCATAGTTCCAGGTTATAAAATTAATTCTGTTTATAATATGTAGGCTATATATTACGTAGGATAATATAACAAGAAGAGAACAAGGAGATTTTTTAATTAAACGAAACTGCGTCAGCATACATGTTTACATTCTCCAATTATTTTGCAAGATAATTTTAACGTCGGAAAATGTTATTACATCAATTTTTTTTTTGTTATTTCATAATTTAATAAAAGTATAGATGAATTCAATAGATATATTATACGCATCTATAATCCCTGCGAGCGAAAGTTGCCGTAGCATAAATTAAAATGCATAATGTATACGCATCCTTAATTACTTGTTAGTGCATATATTACGAATATAATATCTATTATAGTAATGTATATTCTTTATTCTTATCGCTTAAGATTCTTCGCAATATGCTCTCTCGTGCTTGAAACGGAGTCACGTTGCTCGGTTCCGTCACAGCTGAGTGATGGGAGGCGAGCCGGATTCAATGGACTTTTGATCAAGACGAAGGACACGTAGTACTCGTCGTGCGTTACTCCCGCCGTGTAATTTCACGGTCGAAAGAGAACGGGGGTACTACGACGTACTCGAAAGAGCGGACGTAGTAGCCTCGCTAGAGAAAGGATAGACTCTTTGTCTCTCTCTCTCTCTCTCTCTCTCTCTTTTCTTTCTTCCTTCTTTCTTATATTCTACACTCGAGACAGAGATCAAGCCTGAATTTTGACGATGTCGTCACCGTCGTCGTCGCACCTGTATAATTATCGACGATTAAAGATGGTTTAATGCTCTCGCGTTTAAAGGGACTTATTTAAATCAGGCCACGCATTTCTTACTACGATGAAACTGCTCCACTTCTTTTCGTAAAAAAAAAAAAGGAAGATCTAACGGTTCTCCGATGAATCTCTTGCGATTATTCGTAGGTATATACCGACAACCACGTTACTATAATAATACACGCGTCACGTCTGATATTGTAATACGGTACACGTTGTGGGAAACTATGGGAAATAAATAACGCGAACACAATTACTTTCACATAAATATATTCGTAAATGTTTATTTATTACACTAATGTATTCGTTACCGTAATGTTAACGTAAATAAACACATTTATGTGTCTATTAGATTAAACTTCTTCTTGTAATATGATTGAAACTGCATTGATAATTTACGTGAGATAATTTTAGTACCGAGATAGTTGCAATTACTAAATTTTTGTAATAACGAGGAAAATAATGAGCTGATCAGAATTTCGTAACACCTACAGATTGTTGCTCGTGTTGCCATCTCCTTTTATCGCACCTTTCGTGAATAATGTTAATTGCGAGATGTTAATCGAACGACATCTGTCTCGTTTTCATTGCAGAGGTGGGAGCAGCTGGTCGTTTCGAAGCTGAAGTGGGAACTATCCGCGGTGACGCCTGGGGACTTCCTAATGCACATCCTCAGCAGATTGTCGATGCCGCACACCTGTGACACTGTGATGGTCCGGAGGCACGCGCAGACCTTCATCGCTCTCAGCGCCAGAGGTGAGAACAAGAGATTAATGTATACTATCGAGAGAATTGAGGGAATTTAATAGCAGATCGACAACAGGGAATTGTAACAATTCTTATCAGCGTCGCTGTTGTATTAACGAAGGAGCATCTCCCAGTTTCTTTCTTCATTCTTTCTACTCGAGCTCGTAGAGTAATTCTCAGTTTTCTTAATATCGGAACGGTCATCGCAAATATCTTTAATATCCGTTTCTACCATAATGTAAATAGATTAACCTTAATCTCGGTCTATTTACTTCTTTACCTTTATCAATTCTTTATCTCTGTAAATTCTTCAAACTGGAAAAAGATAAAAAGTAAGTTTTAAACAGAGATGAAATTAATCATAGGTAGAGAACACATAAGTGGGAACACGGGGCAAGTGTCCTCTCTAACAATAAGTGCCCTTCGCTGCGCATGTTGTGTCGCACGTTATCGTATATGGTAACGCGGGGCGTTAACAACCGGCTACGTGCGTCGTTAACATACCTACGCATTAATGAACTTTACGCCCCAAACGTGCGTCGTAGAGCGTAGACCGATAGCGGAAGCCGTCACGTAACAGCCACGAATAGCTTTCTTTTTACCTTTCCTCTTTCTTGCTCTCTTTCTTTGTCTTTGTTAAATAGGTCACGCATATACATACAGACGAAGTCGCCAATAAGGCGCGCAGTGGAAATGAGGAGGATAATCCGTTATTATGGTTATTTGTGCACTTCCGTTCTGTTCACGCCCATTAGTTCCGAAGGAGGAGAGGAAGGGCCTGCGCGCGTCCTATAAAAATAAGTAGTATAAGTTTTTCCGTACG